ATCCTTGGTCGCGTGCCCGTGTCTGCTGATGTTGTCTTGGTCTGCCCTTGTTGCGCTCTACCCTCGTCCAGTCCTGGTTATGGGGTTGGGTTCTTGCTCTACCATATTCTGCTTCATGCGTGGCGTTCTGGGACCAGCGGTTGAATGCTGGGGGGGGGGGGGGTTGGAGTTGGGGTTGCCTTCGCCGGAGATTTCACATGAGTCTGGGTCGTTCTCTGTTGGGAAATACTTATAGCGAGCTTCGTCCGATTTCCCGTGCATCTTGTTGCTACGTTCTTTGAACATAGGACATTCTCGGCTCCAGGCTGCATGGCCTTGCATGATACAGTTGACGCAGTAGTGGTGCTAAGGGTCAGCTGTGCCGAAGTTGCATTCCGAGGTGCGGTGGTCCATTCCGCATGTGCCGCAAGTGTCTACTGTTTGACGGTATGTTCCTGCCATGTGGTCGCTGGTGAGTTGCTGGCATTTCAGGCATCGCGTTGGTTCGGGGAGGAGTTTGCGGGTGGTGACCTTGCGTCCTTCGATGGTGAGGCCTAGGCGTATGGCGCTTTCCCGGTCCTTACATGAGAGGGTACAGAAGGCCGTTCTCTGATTGGGTTGCGGCGTGCAGGAGGTTTGATCTATCTTGCTTTGACGATTGAGCCAGGCCGGAGTTTGCTGCATTTCTTCTCCGTTTCTGCGAGCGAGGTGGCTGAGTCCGGATTGAATGTGGTCGGGACGTACTCTGCTATAAGGTTCTGTCTTTGATCATTGTTTCGCTTCCGAAATGTTCGCTAAAGGCTTGGCTGGCGCTCTGACAAGATAGCCAGGCTTTTGTTTCAATGCTGTCAGTTTCAAAGATAACGCCTCCATGACGGAGCTTTCTGGCGCATGTGAAGGATGCGTCTTGTGGGACGTCTAGCCCTCCTTCTTTCATCCCCTCTAGGGCTTGCTTTGCTTTGCGGACAAGTTCCGCTTCCGTTAGGTCCTTTAGACCTGAAATTTCGCTCATTGATTTGCGGCCTACTAGAATCTGTCTTGCCTGGGCTTCGCTTCGTGCCAGGATGCTGGAGTCAGGTTTGGGTTGTCTCGCTTGTGCGACATTAGCGTATGACCTTCCCTGTTCTTCGCTATGTGCTGTGCGTTCCGTGGGTAGGGTGTTTTAGCTCGCCGAGGCGCATGTGTTCTCAATGGCTTTCTCCAGCCTCGCCATGGCACCGTCAATTGAATCACGCACCTCTATAACGAAGCTATCAAGTGCTGTTATCTTCCCTTCGTGATCGTCGGCTGCTTTTTCAAGTCGTTCGATGGCTCCCACCATGTGGAAAGAGGTGGTTTCCGCTATCTTCTTCGCTTTCTGTTCATGGTCAGCCTGTCCGAGGAGGATTGCAATGGCTCTTAGCATGTCTCTCTGTAGTTGCGTTACTCCTGGGGTGTTTTGAGTGTGAATTCGAAGAGTGCGATAGTCAAGTCGTTAATGGTTGCTGCTGCTGCCGGTATTAATATTCCTTTGCTGACGAGTTCGGCTCTTACGGTTGCTGCATCTGTTACTTTCGACGGCGTTGCTGGGTTGTTTATTAGTTCTGGGGTTGATCTATTGTTCAGTCTAAGCAGCAAATTTTCTTTGTTTCTTGGGTGTTATTCTGAGCAAGCCGAGGCACGAGGATAGCGCAGAATTTAGTCTACGCGTGAGAATAGTAAGTTGGCGCAACGCACCTTGTTCCGACCCACGTCGGAAGACAAGTGTACTGTATCAGTAGTCGTTTTCTCATTGTTTTCTCCATCTATTCCTATCGTTCTTTGCACCCACCCGCCTCTCCCTCTCTCAGGTTGCAGACAAAGTTTAGTTCGAATAGTTCATATCTACAACCTTTGTCCGATGTACTGCGTTCCGCTCCCTAAAGATTTCAAGCATCACGCAGGGCGACCTGATCGGTCCCCGCCCGCCCATCACAGCTCACCTTGAAACCTTTAGGTTCGGACTCATACACCGGGCCGAAAAACCCTGCGGGCTTTTACCCAAACTCTTTCTCTACTCAACCATATATTTAGCCACCGCACACCGAAAGCGTAGACTGATCCTCGTGGGGGCAGAATCGTCTGGTTCGTCCACCGGCATCTGGCTTTTTGTTCTGTTTTTGTACGAGTGTTCAAAAGTAAAGCTAGTTTAAGTCTATGTATGAGAAGAAAATGAATTATGAGGGGAGAGGGGGGTCGGCTTTGACGCCGTTTGGCGCGTTGTTGGTGTCTTTGTCACTTGGTTGGTGGCTAAGAAGTGACCCAACTTTGAATCTCAAACTTATACCCATCGCACTGTCCTTGGATTATTCTGTCTTCCTGCCCGAAGTTCTCAGTGATGCCTTTTTGCGTCTTTGTATTAATACGATGGCCATGAAGAAAAACTGCACAGTCTCTCATCTTCTGTTTTGACTACGCAAGTTTGTTCACAAGGTTACTGATGCTAGCAACAAGGGAGTTGCGATCTCCGTGCTACTTACTCTCACATTTCTCTGTGAGAATCAGACCTCCGCGAGTATTACTCCGCGTTACTAGATTTTGACTCTGTGATGCCAGCGGGTGGTATTTCACATGCGGACAATTCACGTTCTAGGTCTACCTATGGTTAATGTTTTTTATAGCTTTGATCTCAGCCATGTCATCACTGAACTTTTGTTCGACTTGTGCCTGTAGTAGATACTCAATGAACACATTTTCTCGCCAGCTCTCAGGACTGCCAATCTCGGACTGCAAACCTCACACATTGGACTGTTGATTTTTCACATTGGCTTCCAATCACCTCATGAGCAAGTGTCCGTACCCCTACCGCTCTTTGCAACACAGTATGGATTCGTCTCATGGACATACATAGATGGGGAGGTTGAACAGTGACGGGAATGCGGTTCAAGTCGAAATGGTAGTGCGGGACGTCAGAGTAATCGCCCATTGTATCTATCTGGATCCCTACCTGATATTCCAACGGAGATCAGTTTTGATTCTGACTTGAACTTGGTCTGTGGCGGAGATGGAGGTGTGGGACAATGCGCTTGTGATACTGGCTGCAACTGTGCCGTTGTCTCGGTGCCCAAGGTATAGGCTATTAGAAGCTAAAACGTGAAACACGCCAGGGAAAATATAGTAAGAGACGGCGATCCAAGTCACGCGGATACATTGTCTCCATTTTCTTTCATTATCTTACCTTGTGCTCAGATTTCACGACCCCCTTGTCTTGCACGTTCATTTCTCCTTCACCACATGCTCCTTATGCTTATTTTGGCCTAAAAAAGTATATATACAGCACATATACGCCCATACATTCTTCCGAACGTAGGCTTCCCAGTTTTCAGAACGCCACCGTCCGATTGTTTGCATCTGGGCAGGCGAGACACCCGCTGCAGCCAGGGATGCAGCACCTCCGGCACGCATAGAATAGCCAGAAGCCGAGGGAGGGAAGAACACCCTGAATTTGCAGAGTAACCAAGATCATGTAGGAGGCGAGCCGTTGCTTCGAAGCCAAAGCAACGGATGCAATGGGAATATGGAATCGCGCAGCTTTAGATAAGCGCTGAAAAAAAAGCACAGGATCGTCAATAGCGGTGGTCCGCTGAACAGCCCATTTCCCTCGAAACGACTGTCGGCCTTTTCCATCCGTAACATGAACTCCAAATCGTCGTTCCTCACACATGGGGAAGAACGGAGGGTGAGCTTGGAGTAATTGCGAACAACTTTCTCATCAGGTCATACAAGCTCTCCAAGCTGCATAAGCCCGAAAAAACCACAGAGTAGTTGGGTGAGCCACAGCAGATCGTCCTGATATAAAAGACCAGGAATAGTGAGAACAACAAGTGGTAGATCGTCTAGCAAAAGTGTTTTCTTGACGCAAGGATCGCTTAACCAAGTTGAATTGGCATGCAGCGCAGTCCGATTGCTTGTATCTGCACAGGCGAGACGCCCGCCGCACTCAGGGATGTAGCTTTCCACGACATCTCAGACGTCTCATCCCAGAAGATGACGAAAGAAAGCCCATCATGCGATGGGCGCCCGGACGCGTGGGCATAAAGGGCAATGAGGAGGCGGATGCGCCGAAATCGCCGACAGCGCGATGCCCAATCTGTGAAGCCCACGACGAATCAGTACATCATGTCCTCTTAGCATTCCTGGCGTACACACAGCAGCGCAAAAGACTAAGGGACGAAGTCGGCCCGCGCTAATGCAATGTCAAGTAACTCTTGAACGAAACAGGAACGACTCATCCCAACCCATCTTTACCATACCAGGAGCCTGAAGAAGGCCTTAACTGCCCTCGCGAAAGCTGGAACCGCTGTACAGGGTAGATACCACGCACAGGACTCAATCGAATCAACTGCCAGTAGAATAGTGTAGGCAGCGTCAAACATAGGGCTTCGCCCCAACGGATAATAAACCAGGATTCAAAAAAAAAAGGATGTAGCACACAGAGTGTCTGGAGTCGGATCAACGTTCCCATGGTGTTTCGCGCAGAATGACAAGCATGGATTTAAATGCGAGGAGTGAGGGTGGTGGAGACATCGAGAGCCATCTAAGGACCAGTCTTCCCGTTGAGGTTGCCTAGCCCGCAATGAGATCTGAATCATTTGAGAACGCCCCCAGCGTATTATGCGGGGAGGGAACCTGAAAGTTCGAAGGTTCTATCCGTCCCGTCCGTCCTGTCCACTCTGTCCCATACGTCCGCATCGTCTGCATCATCCGACAAATGATGATCACACTGAAACATGCTGCTGGGAGTATTGAGGGCGGGGCATAGTACTACCAGGATGCCTGGTGACAGATGTGGCTGCCTGAGGTGGGCAAGCGCGCGAAGGAATTCATATAAGTGAGTGAACAAGGGGTCAGGACCTCCCTTGAGAAGGTACATGCTTGAACCAGATCTGCCTCCGCCCAAGGCAGAAGTTGTTAGCCCTGGGTAGATGGAATTAATGGTTTGTTTGCACGAACACGACAAACGACAACGGGTAGCGCACAGGAGTGGCAGGGCGTTGTGCTGCCTGGTGGCGAGAATTGCAATTGAAATTCCGATAAATTCCGGAAGGATGCCGAAACGTTTCCGGGTAGCCAAATTAGGCCAGGACGATACGGACAGTGCGGACGGTGCTTTTCAAAATTCCGTTATATATCAAATAAGGGCCTTTTTAGCGAGCTTGCCTGTCGTTTTGCTATAGACAGCTGAAAGGCCAGGCCGGAGAGGATAAACATTCGAGGCCCAGTTAAGACGACCTGATAGGCGTTGAAAAATCTTTAAGGGAGCGCCGGGGAACCTTGGACAGCGAAGTCTGTGAGCGATGCAATGAGAATTGCCTGTGATTCATCCAACATTCGGGCCCGCATAAGATTGGGATCTACATCAAATCCAATGGCCAGAAGCTCACCCCTGAAAACCTGCTCTCTCTCTTCATGGGGAATGCGTAGCTGGTCCCAAACACAAAGGAGTTTGACGAAATTGCTAGGCAAGTACTTTCGATAAGGGGCGTAGTACTGCATTTCCTCGTTATGTTGGAAGGAAAACGGGCCACCTCCTTTAGGAGTCGACGGCTAATGTCTAATGTCTAACGAGACTGTAGAAACTTAGCCTCTTGCCTCATTTTACTCAGATTTATTGTCTCGCTAGGTGCGCTGTCTCACGATTTTTAAGCCCTCTTCTCACTCGAACTTGTCTTGCTAGGCACTCTTAAATTTGCGCACTATATCTTGCATTGACATACGTTTCTCATGTCTAAAAATGTCGAATCGAGCTCCAAAACCATCATATCTCCCAGACCAACTTCTGCTAGAGGAGCAGAGTTCAAGGCAGATACCTTCAATAAATGTTTCAATCGGGTCAAGGGCTATAAGCGAGGAGGATTGTCAAAGGGGGATGTACACCTTGAGATCCGAACTATCCTTCAAGCCAGAATTGGCGGCTCAGACACTCACCCAGCTTAATTTCAAGCCTGGTTTCCTCCATCACCGTGACCTCGGCCAGGGCCCTCAGTTCCCTATATGAAACATATTCGGGAGAGGAAAAGAGGTTACGAGACAGTGTACGAAAACCAGAAGACTCGGAAGAGGAAGCGAGTCGAACTTCAGACGGTGGAATCACCTTGTGAGGAAAACGACGGAGGATTACTTCAGAATGGAAAGAGGCGGAGTTGCCGACTTGCGAGGGTATAAACGCTACATATACGGCATCTTCCGTGCTGTCCACTACAGCGCTCATTCCCAAGTCATATTGGCTTCGTCCGAGCATGATGGCCGACTCAAGGTCGAAAGTCAAAAAGTTCCTCCTCCATTTAACGGCGTCTTCGAGTTCAAGAAGCTCAAAAACTCCTACGCCTCTTCGGAATGTCCCCATAATACAAGCTTCAGCGCCTTGCCTCCAACCCAAGCTTAGGAGACAAACCCAGGAGGGCGAAAGTCAACAGGTGCGGATTCTACCTCATGGGGGGAGACACGTCATAGCTGGAAACGTGGGAAAAGCCATCTTCGGACTGCCCCCGATTCCACATCTGCAGCAATGTCGGCCACGCAAGCAAGTAGATTGCTCCTTGGCAAAGGAGGCTACAAGGGCATCACGAGGGATCAAAGATTTCCCCACCAGTCAAACTATAGGGCGTGGGCCATTGGGTCCTAACCGGAATTCGAAGACAAACCAAACACGACCCGGAGAGAAACGGTCACATCTTCATCAAATGAGGGCACCGACGATCGAGAGGAAGCAAGAATAGGACAGCCGCAGGATATGTCTTGCAGGACACGCAACGATGGACAGCACCCTCGAAGCAGGCATAACGGAGATGAGAATGCGGAGAGTACTCCAGGTGAAAAATTCTTTCATATAATGCCTTGAGCACCTTGACGGATACAGAGGTTTAGTACCCTGCATAGCACCTCCCAAACACCGCAACATGAAGGGATTCAATGTTTTAGCGAGGGTAGGCCAAATTTATACACTAACAACGACCTTCTACTAATGTTGCACTGCTTCTTAGAACCCTCCACTCCAACACTTGGTATTTCTTTGTGGCGGATTTGATGCTTGTCTGTATTCAAGTCATGTTTTAAACTTGAAGCTCCCGAGAACACGTACGGCTCTGACCCCGAGTTCCCTGCCTCCCACAAGCTGGAGGAAGAGTTCCGCCCTGCTGATGATGACGGGGAGGACGAGATGCTGAGTACGGGAGAGGGACTTCGTCTACACGACCTGATCTATAAGCATATCTCCATTGAGGTCGAAACATGGCTTAGTGCCTCCTGTGAAGAGCTGTAGAGAAGATGTTGAATCAAGCAAAGCACACCAACAGACGCCGCTGTTTTTTCCAGACCCCCGGGTACAGAAGCGAAGTAGCAGCTACTTAACACCGTAGATTAGTCATCCATGGAGTGTCTGTCATACCATAGCGCCCTTCACTACCTCGTGCCTCGCTGGCGACACACCGGTATATACAGTCGAGGATGTGACGCTGCTCCAACGGCTTCGAGCACAACAGTATCATAAGTTAAAGATTCCATTCAATGATTGGATTCAGCCTCTTGAAAAACGTCGCTCGCAGTGGAGGCCCAAGTCAACCCGTGGACATGCACTCTCCATTGAGAGTATAGGGACTGCTGTTGCCACTAAACGCGTTTTATTCCAGAAGGCGCTGGGGGTGGGGCATCAATGCTTTGATAGAGAGGAATGAACTGGCAAAAGAATCTCGATGAATCTAATTGCCTGTGCTGGTGTGCAGCCTCAATTGGCGTGGCCTGCGCTTTACTTGACGAGATACTCAAGACAGGCAAAGTTCCGAACGACATAGAAGACCTGGTACCACTTAGACTTGCCCCGCGCTGCAGTCGCCGTCCCTGGCCATGCCTGCATGCCAACAAAGCGAATATTGCACTGTCTTTGTGCTTTAATGGCAGCACACCCAACATCACACATCCATACATATCTCAGATTTCCAAGGTCAGTCTTTGACGCCATCCTCAACAGTCGTGAACTTACTCGTCTTGACCTAAGATCTAGCGATCTTCTTTCTAACTGCCAACACATCACAGGCTCGTGGGTTCTTTAACATCTTTGGCGATGGAAACTGCATAGCAGCTTTCAAAATGTTCGAATTTAAGCATGGCAATTTTGTCGTTCCTTTTGTTTTCAAGCTGCGCCGAAATTCCTGGGTGAGTAAATCGATTCCTTTCTGCAGCCTTCCCTAACCGCACCCACTCCATTTGTAATCTTCAGCCCAGCATGCCCAAGCTCCGACTTCAATACGGAGTGCCCCGTCACGGCCTAGGTGCTATAGCAACCCCCACTGATAGCATTCTGTAAGCACCTATTCACTGCGCCTTCATCATACGCGTTCATAATAGCACCTTACATACAGATGCAGCCTCTACCATAAGTTCCCGCCGCTCCACCTGCCAAATCAGTATGATGCTGACATCATTCAAAAACATTCTCAACACAGCGGCCGCACTTCCTTCACGAGCATCCAAGCGCCTCCAACAATCCAGGCGCATCCCTCCAGCCGAACCAAACACTATCTGCATTTGAGCCATGTCGCAACATCCCATGGCGCCATCGCCGAGTGTGTTCTGCAGCTTTCGGCATCCTTCAATCAGATTCATGACGTTGTATACCGAAGCAGTTATTTGTTCTTCGTAGATTCATTGGGCTAGTTCAATTTTAATACCTATTATGTCTAGATACATGTTTTGTTACTGTAGCTGCTACCGATCACTTTTTTTGCTGTTCTCTCTTTGTAATTCCTCTTCTGTCCTTGAATTAGCTTCATTTAATTTATTTAATTTTCAAGTGAACGGCCTTTAGTTTCCTATCTGAATTCAAACTCAGTTTCACCAGTCTGTCTATGAACCATCTGCCCTCATAGACGGGCCTAACAGTTAGAATGGGAGGTTACAAACGCCGGACGCGAGCTCAGTCTTTGTTTCAAACTGATCGATGTTGAAAAAGATATACGAACCACCTCCTCATCTCGCATTCCTCCATTCTCACTGCAATAATCCTCATTTGACGTAAATTCTCCGTTTTCTTTGGACTTCGCTTCTCTCTTTCTGTTTTACTAGCTATCTTGAGCCGTCGAGACATATTCATACCTGAGCTGTATATAGCGTAGATGGCTAAATACGCGCCATCATATCACCGGAACGTGAGTTATAATATGATAAGTTGCGAGAAGGCGCAAGGGAGTGAACATTTTCGAGACGGCGCTATGCGGTGCGAGAGTGGAGGAAGGTATGAGAGGATGTGGAATGCTACTCAAACTGAATGTCATGAGATTGGTACAATATATATAATAGAAACGACTTACATATGCAAGACAGATGGCGGAAGGTGTGCGAGGGAAGCCAGCATGGTTGTGCACTGAAGCATGTCTATAGAATCCTTGAGCTTTCAGCTAATACTGCTAGAAGATACGTCCATGTTCTCAGACCAAGAAAAGGCAGCTAGACGGCAGGGGACAGTGGTGATATGAAACGACATCAATAGCGTCAGCGCAAGAGATGGCAAAAAACAGATTCGAGGGTGCCGTGGGACAGAACGTTGGTTAAAACAGAACTCGGCATCGCCAATGGTGCACAAAGCAATAATTCTCCATCCTGATGAACCGGGGGTACTAGGTAGTAGGTACCGTTCAGGACCTATTATTTAATAGCCTTAGCCTCAGCCAAATGTTGCCAAACACTGTACCTCAAAAAACAAGCGAACAACCCTTGAGAAACAACCTCAACTTCTTCTGTGAGGCTTGGATGCCAAAGATTGCACGCACAAATTCAAATTCTCTCGCACGCAGATTCAGTAGCCAACCCTCTGCGGCCCATCAACACGAGAGGACCAAAAACGCCAAGACCAAGAGGAATCGGGAGCTAGCTGTAATGCCCGGTCAATCAACTCGGCCGGTGCCCCCAGTCCGACTCCGGAAGCCCATGGCCTGTTTCTCAATCCCACTCATCCGTGCAGAACTAGTCATGGATGAGTCCCTAACAAACCTTGGAACTCTCATCACCTACTCCGCCCCGCAAGAGGTGGTCGCCGTTGATTTTGACACGAGGATGGAGCACACAACCTGCCGGGTACCAGTGATGGAGGGTGGGCAGCTTAGAGGGTATGTACCCCTGCCAATGAGGTACCGGGATGTTTGGCTCGAGCTATCCTACAACATTGTACTATTGATCAACATCTGGAGGCTTTGGTCGAAGGAGGAGGGAAAGGCTTTGAACTCGAAGGAGAAAAAGATGGCCACTACTTGCCGACAGAACGCCGGAACATTGCTTGTTCAATACATGCTCGCCAGACTTCTTGCGGTGGAGGAGTTGGTCGGCTTGAATTATAACACGGATCCTGGTGAGGAGCGCGTGAAAGTTCTCAACGAATGGAAGGTCCGGATGGTTCGGGATTGGTTCTATATGACTTACTCGGAGGCCGAGGCTGATGGACCTGAATTCTTGCACGCAGATCCCGTCAGCCTCGAAAATAAAGCATTTTTCGGTGTGTTCATCCTGTTCGCCGCTCTTCCAACATCGCCTGACCTGAATAGAAAGGAAATGGGACATAGAGGAGGAGGGTCGGGACATCATGTCGCTCCCGGCAGATACCAATCTCTGGATCCACGGGCGTATCGAAGGGTTCGACGACGCCTTTGAAAAAACAATTAAACCTCAGTCCTTCGAAGAGATGAGCAAGCCCAGCCAATTTTTCGAGACTCGATATGAGGAAGGGGCCAAGCTACCGTCTCGCTGGCACGAGGGACACGAGCCTCGTCCCCTCTTCTGGAGCATCAAGCAGTGGGATTGGTTCAGTGAAGGCGAGTTCATCACTGCATGCAACCCTTTCTAGCTACTGAAAACCTCGTGCGTCGCAGGGAATGACTATTGGAACGCACCAATTGACTTCTTGCGTTACGCTCTTGTCACAGAGCCAGCGTACCACGATGTCGGCCAGTTCTTGGGCGACCTCCGCAGCCTCAGCGGCATCATCTCCCTCAATCCTAATTGGCAAGACATCGAGGCGAACGCGAAGGACCTCTGGCTCGGAAAGATGATCTGGAGGGAGTTTGTGGATAGCTTGAGCATTAGTTTGAGTCTGTCTGAGGCAGAGACTCTGACTTCGGAAAAAAGAGGTATAGTTTTTGGATGTTTATGCGGTCGTCTCATATTGATCCCACAACAGATGACCGAAACCCTTTCAACACCTTGGAGGCTCGTTTGATATTCGAGGGATATGTGCACCGGGAGAAACCTAACTCGAAGGATCAGGTAGCCGAGGACAACGTCTTGTGGCAAAGCCTAGATCGAATCAGCCCACCAGAGCATCGGCCGGTATGGGAATGGGTCGCCAGTGAGATGGAGTCGGATGGAGTCAAAGTAACGTGCATGTTGAAGCAAGCGGGAGATTGGTGGCGCGAGTTCAGGCACAAGCAAGGTGAGGGCGTTAGAGTGATGGAACTCTCGCACCAATCATTTCCTGTTCCCAGCGAAATCTTCCCATGTGGAAACACATAGCACGGAACAGTATGATGAAGAAGAACGGGATCGATGGCAAGGTGGATCTAGTAAGCAGATGTAGCATCTCTATTGAACTGGAGATCTAACCAAAGGGAAAGCTCCACGCGTGCAGGATGTACCAATGCGCCAGGAAGGTCGTCAACGCTTGGCAGATGGTAATTCTGAGGACTCTGGCGACACCTTCCATTACCCTCGCCCCGGGCGGTGTTGGAGACAGGCCTCCTGAATCTACGGCTGCAGCTGACTCCAACGATTCCAACGAATACGCAGACTCCACCCACCCTCCCCTTCCCATCTATTCTCCCATGATAAATGGTGTTTCCCAAATTCTCCGTCCTATCCACCTGGGATTATCCAGGTATCTTGACGGGTACGATTCATTAGAAACATTCGGAGACAGCTTGATCAAATCCTTCCCCTCGGAATACGAGGCGAGCATAAGGCAGTTTGTGAATGACCTTCAGCCTTTCACTGTGGAACAGTTCACAGTGGACGTTGCAGAGCCCATATTGGACTCCTTCGTCCGCCGTGTTAACGCAATACAGGCGAAGAAAGAAGCTGAAGTGTTGCATAAGGAATTCCTTTAACGCTGCACTCCTTGGGTTCTTTTCGGACTGCTTGTGTCTTAGCCTTGTGCAGGATTTTAATCGAGTTTTAATTGGCTTAAACAAGTTGAATCAACGCTGGGGCTCGGCTCAGGCCGAGTACCGTTCTGTGAACAACTGACGTATGCTCTTAGCTGAGCCTCCTAAGCGCTGGTGTTCCGGCACAGACTTGACACATTTGTCTTCGTCTTCACCATGGTCCGAGTTCGACGAGCGCGCGAAGAAATACGTTTGGGTCATGTGTCAGAGAATTTTGGCACAGACTGTTTTTCTTAGTTTCAATCTCTGTCCATTGGGGTAACGTACCCTATGTCGGATGGAACTGTCTAGTCTAAAGGGCCCATGCCCTATCTACATCTCTGGATTCACGAATGTCACGACGTCAGGCTGCCCTGCGCTAGCCCACCGTTCTCGCCGGCCGTTTTAGACGCGCAATCCAAGCGAAGATGGGTTTGACTGCTCTCTTCTTATCGCGTTTGTAAGTATCTGATACGTGGTGTTTTTGTAAACTGAAGCGCGTACTTGACTGTCCCTGGGGATGTAAGCTAGAGCAAATGGCTAGTAGGCTACGTTAGTACGAAGTGTAAGTACGAAGTAATGATACATACCTCAGCGACTCGAATGAGTCGATCCTGAGGTATATATGATGAGCCCTGCCGCAATAAGTATGAGATAGTTATGTAAGGATCAGTGGTTTGTGATGGCTGAGGAAGCAAAAAACTATATAGTACATACGACAAGGTGACGAAGGTGATGAAATAGGCGGTAACACCAACCACACCCCCTCACTGAGACACCTGTTGGAGTGTGCTGGACTCACTGTTGTAGACGCTAGAGTAGAGTCTCAGCGAGTGATGGAACAACGCTAATATTAGTGAGTACCTAGAGTAGAGTCTAGGTACGAGTCAGTACATGTAACTACTATGACTACGAGATGACATACCTCGGCGAGTGATGGAACAACGTGTCCAGAACATATCGCGGTCAGTGATCAAGGTCGACATGGTTCCAAAGCCAAGGATAGCGGAGAGTTTGGGATGGGCAATGGACGGGATGTCTTCATCACTTGTGAATGAATGAGAGGATGATGCCTTGACGACAGCAAAGGATAGGCCCCTTCTGCAGTCGAATGTGATAGCGACATGAGCATCTGAACTGGATTTCGCAAGTCTAAGTTGCCCACGTTGTCGATTTGCCTCTTCGAAAAATGAGGCTGCAACCTCCTCAAAGGTGAGAATGGGTGTAATGGTCGAAGTGGACGAGCGACTGGAAATAAGGCAGTGAAAGGCGACCTATTGGGTTGTGTCTGGTAAGCGATTCAGCAACATCCAGATGGCTTCCTCATCAGTGAAGATGACGCCCATCTCTGCAAAGTGCCTTCGGCCGTTTTCAAAAACACTAAGATAGCGAGAAGCATCTTCAGCATCCTTCAGCTGTTCGGAGAGTAGCTGGGTGCGTAATTCAATTAGGGAGGTGATATTGAGACAAGCGAAACACTTTCTCAGAATCTCGCATTGCTCGCGAGCGGTCATTTTCTCGCCAAGCATGTTTTGAACGATGGGGGGAAGCCTTCGTCCGATGACTATGCGTCTTTCTTGATCCATTCATTCATCGCAACGCATTCTGCGCTCGTAATCGTTCCAG